ACATACATATATATATATATATATATATATATACCACATTTTTTGACAATGCTTTGAGCAGTCAGTTTAGTTAAGGAAAGTTCAAATTACTGAGACAGTATGATTCTGCACGTGTCTTGTGGGAATTCTGAATGTGTGTGTGTATATATGTGTGTCTCAGTATTAAAACAAAAAGGATCACTCAGAGTAGCTTACTTAGTTCATAGATGGGCAAACCAAAGCCCAGAGATGTTGAATATTTTGTTCAGATTTTATTGGTAATGTTTTGGTAGGTAGAGCTACATATCGGGAGACAATAGTTGTCTCTAATTAGTCAAATTTGTTAAAAAGTCCTCACATTCTCATGTATTACATTTTTTTTCTTAAGGCTTATCAGGTAAATTTAAATTATCCTACAATACTGAATTTTGGGTCTGATAAGACTATCCCAGATGGCTTACTATCAAAGCTCACTTTTAAGAATATTAGAAAATAAAGTAATAAAAACTTGGGTGGTAGCTTTAAAAAAAAGATGATGTCAATGTTTGTGTTTTCTATTTCTATAGCTGGACTCAGATGGCACTGTTACGATAGAGGAGCAGATTGTTCTGGTGATGAAGGCGAAGGTTCAATGTGAACTCAACATCACAGCTCAGCGCCAGGAAGGAGGTAAAGATGCTGAAGAAACTTGCTCCTACCTGAGTCCTCACAGAGATTACTAGGTTCTTTCCCTACATAGTGCCAAGGAGATATACTCATCAGTCATGCCCTGTTTTAATGAAAGATACAAGCACAGCAATGCTTTCCCCATCTCTCTGCATGTCTCTTTTTGTGTGGATTTAAGAGTTTACTTTTTTTTGTCATCATTTATATTTTTCTTTTAATTTTATGTTATTGTAAAGATGCCGTACAGAGGGGTTACAGTTACATGAGTAAGGTAATGAGTGTGTTTCTTGTTGAGCATTGTTACCCCCTCCTTTGTTATTCTCCCACTATCCTTTTTCTCCCACACCTCCCTCACTCCTCCCCCAGTCCCCAAGTTGTAAAGTTCATTTCCAACATAGTGTCTTGTGTCATTGTTGCAATGGGTCATCCTGTGTCCTTATGTCAGCATTTTGTTATTCCCCTTCCCCACCCCAAATTAGATAAATGTATATAAAAGATGCAGGGTACTAAAATCAAGTACAGTGACAACAGGGAATATACCATAGGGGGAAGAACATACAAAGGAAACAAAAAATCACATAGTACATTAGAAACAACAACAAAGAAAGACTTCTTGTGTCCATATCTTGGGGTTCATTTAGCTTAGCATTATGTTATATGATCATATGTACATAGCTTTTGAGCTCTGCTCATCTAATAAAATCATCCTAGACTTATACTAATTATTGCAAATGAGAGAAACCATGGGACCTATATTTCTTCATTTCACTTAATATGATTTTTTCCAAGTTGCTGTCATTCTTTCTGATGGAAGCATATAATTCATATGTGTATCTATATATCTATATATATCACATTTTCTTGATCCATTCATCTACTGAGGGGCATCTGGGTTGGTTTCATGATGTGGTGATAAATATAGTTGTGCTGATAGCTTTAGTATGGCCTTGTTTGTGATTGTTTGGGTAAGAGCCCAAAAGTGGGATTTCTGGGTCCTAGGGGAGCTTTATGTGGAGTCTTTTGAGGAACCTTCATATTGCTTTCCAGAGTGGTTGAACAAGTTTACACTCCCACCAACAATGCAGTAGCATTCCCTTCTGTCCACATCCCCTCCAGCATCTGTTGTTATTAGGGTTTTTGATTATAACCATTCTAACTGGGTGATGTGGAATCTCAATGTTGTTTTTATTTGCATTTCTTTTATGGCTACATACAAGAGGTTTTTGATTTGTACCTTTTGTCTTGTATGTAAGTTTATCTGATTTGGGAGAGTAAGGGGAAGAACAGAAAAGGTAGGTCAAAGGGTGAACCAATCCAGCAGTGAAACCCACTAAACACTATGTTGGAAATGAATTATACAGCTAGCGGGGAGGGAAGTCAGGAGGGAAAAACCTGAAGGAGGGGGTGAGACTGTTCAAAAGGAAATGTACTCATGATCTGACTTATGTAACTGTACCTCTTCTGTACATCACTTTTCCAATAAAAATTTAAAATAATGTAAAAGAAATTAAACATGAAAGAATACATTAGCTGGATGTATAAACTTATGCAACATCTAGAGTTTGTGATATTTGAATCCAGTGCAACATTTTTTTTTGTGGATGAGTGAACAGTAAAAGGGAAACACGTTCTTTAAAATATTTCTCCATAAGGTAGGATAGAATTAAATATGATCAAATTCTAGCCTATCTTTCAATGAAAATGTTTAGTATATGTAAATTGGTCCAAATTTTCCACTTAAAAATTGTAAAAACTAGGATAATATTGAATTTACTAGCTAGTTTTTAAAAATTCATTATTAAATGCTCTTAAAATTGAGAAGCCTATTTAGGAGTGAACTGGTATATTGCTTGTCTTTTATTTTAAAATAAAATAAAATAAATACTTTAAGGTATTGTAAATAGCACTGTCAATTTTGAGCATGAAATATTCTGTTTTATTTGCTGAAAAAATTGAAAAATATTTTTATTATCTTGAAGTAGTTGTACAAATGAGTTGCTGTTTAACAAGGCAGCCTATGAATTGGGTGCATCTGGATCAGTTTCACTGCTTTCCACATTCTCAATCATTGCCCACAACCCACCCCTTTCCTCACTTTTCTTAATTCTGTCAGATATGTATTGAACTTTTTTGCATTTTAATAAAGCTTTGTGTATACAATGCGTTTTGATCCGTGTCACCTCCTTCAGCATTTTCTCCTTCTTTGACCCACCTCTTCCTTTGTTTTTCTTTTTTTTATTGTGAGAATACTGTACAGAGGAGTTAGAATTAATTTTTTTGGTATATGTAATGAATTCTTGTTTGAATTCTCCCCTCCTTTTCCCTTTCATTTGCTTACCCTTCCCCCCCCCCCCCCCCCCCCGGCCCATTTTCTAGTACTTACTTGTTGAGCTTTGACTTATTCTTTTTAAAGAATTACACTATTTGAGCTCTAAGAACATAAAAAAAATTTCCCAATGTTGACGAGAGAAATATGAGTACCTAGTTTATAAAAATATTCAAGTATTTAAAAACAAAAACTAAAAATTTATGTATCCTGCATCTGGTTCTAGGTATGCTTATATCTTGTTCTGAATAACTGAAGAGCTAAAAGAAGAAAAAACCAGATTCTTGAATTTTTGGATTGTTCTGTGTAAATATCATGGTTGAACAAGCTTCAGTAATAATTAATGTTCCTGGCACATTCGAAGGATTGCAGAGTTATAATTAATGGTGTTAATTTATAAAGGGGAGAGTGATGAATCACTAGGCAATTAATTAGTTTCTTGCCAAATAAGGAAAGTATTTACTCACAAGATTATCAAGGCGACTATGGTAATTAAGAGCCCTGTATTTTCTGTCTGAGTTCATGGCTTTTCAATCTTTTCAACCCTCTGTGAATATTTGTCATTCTTGTTGTCAAAGAGCCGCCAGAGAAAGGAACATGACATACAAAAATTTCACTTCAGGATTAATTTTCTGAACTTTGAGAGATATATTTGTGCATGTACACATGGCGGGGGGGGGGGGGTGTGACATCGTGTAGACAAATGCCCCTTTTGGAGCATGAGAAAAAAAAATCAGTTTCATAGCAGTTTCAAAGCTAATTATAGAACTAACTGACCTTTAGATTTTACAGTTTTAGGAAGATCTTTTCCCACTATATGACAACTCTTGCTGCCAACAGTACATATATTGCAACATACATTGTAGAGGGCCAACTAGACAGGAAAACAGACATGTTTGTGAGTCCAATTCACATGGAGGGTGGGCTACAATGCATTGTGAGCTGGCGCCCCAGCTTAAAGAAAGCTGCTGGCAGTGGACAGGCATCTCCATTGCACATGCCCCACGAAGCCCTCCCCCCCCACCCCGGGTTCTATAGCCCAGACAACATGTGTATTGCATGTGTTGCAAGACACCCTGTTTCTGGGAGGGATTAGAATAGAGTTTGGTCTGTCCTAGCCAGTTTCCTTGCTTATCTCAAAATGTTACACTCTCAACACATTTTCTTGTGAATCTTGAGAACTACCAAGCAAAAAGGGTGGGGACAACTGGGTGGTTCCATTGCCACATAGAGAAGTTCTGCAGAGGAATAGCAAGAGTTCTCTTAGCTCACATGATCACAGTGATGTTGGCAACAGTTGGACTAAGAGGGTGCCCTAGAGGCTATCAGAGACTCGAGGGCCTCCGTTCATCTTGGAAGGGCTGGAGTTCATTGGGACTTTGAGATGAATGATAGACTCCCCAAATTTATTGACATTATTGGCAAAAAGATACATCTGCATTTTGCACCTGTTTCATGTGTCAGGTTCTTTGACAGCAGTTCTTATAATAGTTACTTCCTGATGGAGCTACTGTTGTGAGACTTGAGAGAGCTGTAACATAGTTGCTCAGTGGTTTCCAATGTGCTGTAAATGTGGATTGCTGTAACTGCTATTGCTAGCATATTATAATAATTGGGATATATTAACTTGTTTTATTTGTGTGCTTTTGTTGGTACTGGGGTTTGGATATGGTGCTCTGTGCTTGCCAGGCTGGTCTTCTACCACATGAGCCATACTTTCTAAAGCTTTGCTTTACAAAATTAAAACATTCAAATCACTGCTAAAGTATGGCTCGTGTGGTAGAGCCACATGGGTCTTTCTTCAGAGACCCATTCAGGCTGATGAATTTTGAAATACTCACCTCCAATCTATGCCATTTTAGTTTCAAACAGTTATGGTGGTTTTACTTTTTTTTGGGCCAGTCGTCTGAAATGTATTTTGAATATCTTTGTTCTCTACTTTTCTCTATTGTTTTCTCATTGTTCTTATTTTCTTTTTTCCTCATCAGAAGGTAATTGCTTTCCTGAGTGGGATGGACTCATCTGCTGGCCCAGAGGGACGGTGGGGAAAATGTCTGCGGTGCCATGTCCTCCTTACATTTATGACTTCAATCATAAAGGTATTGAATTTTTCTTAAATTGAAATGGAAAGTTTGCGATATTCCTTCCTTTCTTTCTTCCCTTTTTCATTTTTTATTTTTGTGATAGACTCCCGTGGAACTGAGCTACCTCGGCCCCTTTTTATGTCTTACAGGAGTCGCTTTACGACATTGTACTCCCAATGGAACATGGGATTTTATGCACAGCTCAAATAAAACATGGGCTAATTATTCAGACTGCTTTCTGCAGCCAGATATCAATGTAGGCAAGGTAATGACATTTTTCATGTTTGTGAATCCCTAAGGGAAAGCAGGATGATGATTCTATGCAGTTTTTGATTGCTAACCATTAATGTCTTTGCTGTATGATGCAAAGATCATAATAGATAAGGCAGTGATAGACTTTTTCAGATGCCTGTGAAATATACTGGTGATACTTTCCTTAGTTCATAGATACCTGGCTAAGAGACCTACATATATGCTTATAAAAATAACATTTTGTATTTATTTCAAGTTATTATTAAGCTTACATTATCTTATTATACATTATGTATAAACTCAAATAGATTCAATTTTAGTGATCTGTGAGTGACTAAATTATCTATATTCTTGCATGGTTTTATCATTTAGAAGAAGCCCTTTCACTTTCTAAGATTTACCAGTAGATAATTTCATTAGTACACGATAGATTAGAATTGTAGAATTAAAGAAGAGCAAGGGGCATCATGTGAGTTTTCTGGCACAGTACCTTTATTTCACAGAGGTGAATCAATTGAGAACTAGAAGTGGATGGTCCAAGTGACCAAGTGACATTGCTTGCTCAAGGCAGAGTCTGGAGCAAAGCCCTGATGTCCTAACTGCTCATAAGTGGTGTTTGTAATATAGTGATCATATGTATACTTTAAAAGCTACAACAGGTACTGTTAAGTTCTTTTTTAGATAGTTAAAAAGTTCTGTTGAAATTTATATCACATGGACCTGATAAGTAAAAGTGTGTAGTAATATGTACATGTAATAATGCTGGCGAGATCAGAGGGAAACTAGGAGGAGGACACAGAAACAGCGGGAAACGGGAAAACATATAACAGTGGGACCCATCAGCTGCACTGGTCATTGATCAAAACGAACTAAATAACTCAATGGCAGCAATGGAAGGGAGGGAATGAGTGGGAAAGAGGGAACAGCTGACACTAAGCAAAAGGAAAGAAATGTACATATCACCCGATGTGGAAGAAATAACTGTATTGTCAAAGCTCAAGAACTCATAAACTTTATAGACCACGATAAAGACAATTTGCTCCATGAAGGTTAGAATGTGTTCATGACTTTAAATTTCACAATACTGTGAAATTTGTGAAATTTGTGTAATCACTTAATCACAATAAGAAAATTGTTAAAAAAAATTAACATGAAAAAAATAATGCTGGAGGAAGCCGGATGCTGGTGGCTCATACCTGCAATCCTAGCTACTCAAGAGGCTGAGATCTGAGGATCCCAGTTCAAAGCCAGCCTGGGCAGGAAAGTCCGTGAAACTGTTATCTCCAATAAACCACCCCAAAACCAGAAGTGGTGCTGTGGCTCAAGTGGTCGAGCACTTACCTTGAGCTGAAGAGCTGAGGGACAGCACCCAAGCCGAGTTCAAGCCCCACGATTGACACCCTCCCCCCCCAAAAAAAGAAGAAAGAAAATAATAATGCTGGAGAGAAAATGGTAATTTGGTAAATAAATAATTTATATGAAAACCCTGAAGACAGTCCATTACACAGAGACTTTCCCCAAATTAGACATTTTTTTAAATTTTATTTTTTTTGTAAAGATGCTATACAGAGGGGTTACAGTTAACTAGTAAGGCAATGAGTACATTTCTTTCGAGGACTGTTACCCTTCCCTAGCATAGTGGGAGAACAAGACATTTTTTTCCTATACCTATTGATTTTTGGAGAAAGTAGGAAAAAGAACAGTAGGGGTAGAAGTGTTTGTGTATAAATAGAACTTTCATAATGTCTTTGAGGAAGTGCTACCACTTGAATGAGCTCTGTGGTAATTTGTTGAAAGACCTTTAGTTTTGTATTTCAAGGCTGTAAGTTTTTAGGTAAAAGTTGTCAATAAGAAGAGATGGTTATATATTTTATGTTACAACTGATGCCAACATTGAGTTAATAGAAAATCCTTCACATTGATTTTAGTCTCCTTGACAGCAAGAAACATTCATTGGTCATAGAAGTCATGTTTTAATTCAAAGCCTACAAAATGATTTGAGTTACTCTGAAAAAAAAGAGGAATAAACTTTCACTGATATTTAGTTAATTATGTAGTAATCTTTATTTGTGCATTGCATGATGACACATGCTAAGTTTTGAAAGGGTCATTATATTAAATCATGTATATAGAACCCAAACTTTGTAAGCATTCCTAGTAATTGCTATGCAAATAATTAACAATGGTTGATAAAACCTAAGACATGCAGTATTTTATATCAAAATGATTCAAACTGTGAAGAATTTTGTTAGCATAAATTAATTTAGCTCCATGAAAAATATGGAATATTTTCTTTTGTTTATGACTGTTAAGAAGTAATTTGAGAAGACTTAGGGAAAGCAAATATCTTCTAATAAGAGAGCTAGATGTTCCCTGAAGTGTTGATATACTGTAGGATAAAATATTGCTTATTTATGAGACATAAATGATTAATGGTTGAAATGAAATTATTTATTATAAGAAGTAAGAAGCTAAAAAAGCATGTATTGGGGACAAATGCCATTTTATATATATATGTATATATGTATATATATATTACATCTTTACTGGGGAAATAAGATTAAGATATTTTTACGTAATTATAATTTTTTTCTTTCAACAATTTCTATATCATTGGCTTGGCAAAATGGAGTGATTATTTTTGATAAGAAGAAAGGAAGGAGCTGTAATGATAGGACACAAGTTTATTATATTCCCTAGAATATAATATATATTCCCTAGAATATAGTATATAAAAGTAACAAAATAAGAATAAATTACTCAAGGAAATGAAAAACTTGCACATTGAAAACAATATGTTCATAAAAGAGTGGGAAGGACTGAGTAAGTGGCAAGAGATAAAGTGTCCCTGGATAGAAAGAAATATTGTTGAAATGTCCATATGACCGAAAGTGACTTACAGATGCAAGTAGTCCCTGTGCAAATACCAATGATAGAAATAGAAGAAATAGCTCTACTATTTGCATGAAACTCCAAGAGATCTTGAATTCTAAGATGTCCAAGAACATTCTAGAAGAATATGAGGTATGTGAACAGCAACAGAAATGGGAGCAGTGGATATGTAGAGGTGGGTGATGGGCAGCTTTTTAACTAGCAAAGGACACAAATGAACTTAGTTTGTCAAAACTGTTAAACTGCTCATATCAGATCTGTACATGTGAATTACAGCTCAAAAAAGCTAAAGAGAATCAGAAATATTATGCTCAGAAGGATATTTTCTTTCTTCTTCTTTTTTTAATTGTGAAAATACCATATAGAGGGGTTACAATTACATGGGCAAGGTAATGAGTACATTTCTTATCAAGCATTGTTGTCTCCTCCTTTGTTTTCCCCTTCTCATCCCTTCCCATTCCTCCTCCCTATCCCCCTCCCTATCCCTCCTACCCCATCCCCCTTACCCCATCCCCCCCAGCCCCCACCCCCCCAGCGCCAAAGTTGTAAAGTTCATTTTTCAACATAACGTCTTGTACATCTCATTGTTGCAATGGGTCCACCTGTATCCCTATTTAAACTATTTGTTTTTCCCTTCCCCTCCCCAAATTATACCAACATCAAATACAATAAAAACATGGGTTATACCTTGGGGGAAGGACAAAGCAACAAAGAAATATCTTATAAATATGTTAGAAGCAATCGCCAGAAAGAAAAAAATATTTGAGTCCTTATCTTGGGGTTCATTTCGCTTAACATCAACTTACCTGACCATTTCTGCTTGTCTCAGACATATACTAGTAATTGCAAATAAGGGAAACCATGGGACCTATGTTTCTTTGGGCCTGGCTTACTTCACTTAATATAATTTTTTTCCAAGTCTTTCCATTTCCTAACAAATAGAGCAATGTCATTCTTTCTGATGGAAGCATAGAATTCCATTGTGTATATATACCACATTTTCTTGATCCATTTATCTACTGAGGGACATCTGGGTTGGTTCCATATCTTAGCTATGGTAAAGACTTACAGAGAAACTTCTCTGAAGAGGAAAGAAGGATGGCCAATAGACACATGAAGAAATACTCAACCTCTCTAGCCATAAAAGAAAGGCAAATCAAAATAACATTGAGATTCCACTTCACCCCAGTTAGAATTACTATCATCAAGAACTCTAATAACAACAGATGCTGGAGGGAATATGGCCAAAAGGGAACCCCATTGCATTGTTGGTGGGTATGTAAACTTGTTCAACCACTCTGGAAAGCAGTATGGAGGTTCCTCAAAAGACTCCACATAGAGCTCCCCTATTACCCAGAAATCCCACTTTTGGGCATTTACCCAAATGATCACAAACAAGACCATACTAAAGCTACCAGCACAACTATGTTTATTGCAGCATTATTTACCATAGCTAAGATATGGAACCAACCCAGATGCCCCTCAGTAGATGAATGGATCAAGAAAATGTGGTATATATACACAATGGATTTCGTTTTTTAAAACCATTGTCCTGGTGAAAATATTCCTATGATATATGTGACTGCCTCTTTCACTTCAGCAAGAATTCTTCGAGAGCCTCTATATCTTATACACCATTGGCTACTCCATTTCCTTTGGCTCCCTGGCTGTGGCTATTCTCACCATTGGTTATTTCAGGTGAGTGACTCCTGTGCACCTTCTCCAGGAAGGGACGTGTCCTGATTCCACTGCTTGGAAGACATAGAGATTTGCATAATCAAAATCCCTAGTGATTTTCTCCAGCACAGGATATTGATTAAAACTTATTGTTATTATTTTATTTAAAATGTGTTTTTCAGTGACAAATTCTTTTTTTTTTTTTGTGTTGCTGATTCCATAGAAAGCATCCAGGCAGTATGAAACATCTAAGCCAATGCATCTGTATTTCAATATATTTATTTGCAAAGTAATGCAACATAGGGATTAAAACAACAACCTTTCATTCATGATATAAAGACTTGTTTTACTTGAACTCAGGGCCTGAGTGCTACGTCTGTACTCAAGGCTAGTGTTCTGCCACTTGGGCCACAGCTTTACTTCCATCCTTTCTGGTGGTTAATTGGAGATAAGAGTTTCACAGACTTTACTGCCAAGTCTTGCTTCCAACCATGATCCTCAGAGTAGTTAGGATTACACGTGTGAGCCACTGGCATCTGGCTTGTTTTACTTGGACAAATGATTTTGGCACCATTGGACAAAATTTGTTCCAAATGATTTGATCTTGACTGACTTTGGAGTGTGAGTTGACCCACTATAAACTTATTTCCAACTCCATTAATATAATCTAAACACAAATTTTGAGCTACAACCTAGAGATCTCTCAGAGTACCTCTTGAAGTTGTATTATAGTCTCATGATGCTTGTAGTTAGTTTGTGATTCCAATAGTTTACAAAATAAGTGGTATACTGTGTGAGAAGTGCTATAAAATATGCATGGTAATTTGAGAAAACGAACGGGGACTTCTAGACAAAGAAAGGAAATATGAAGTGACACCTGCATATAAATAGGATGTGATTAGGAAAAAGCATGGGGAAAAGTTTTCCAAATAATATGTTTAGATCAAGGAAAGCCATGGAGTATTTGAAGATTCAGATTTATGACAGGCACTTTTGACTAAGCACAGTCAAAAGAAGCAATAAAATATCAAAAAATGCAAACTCTGACCTTTTAAATTGCTGCACACATGGTGCCCAGCTTGGTTGCTACCGAGGAGCTTTTGGCCCGATTTGGACCTCTGTTGTGTTTAATCATTGTGGGAGCTGGTAAGTCTTTCCTTGTCCTGATTTTGTGAGAATCTGGCTCCCCCAAAACAAATGGTATCCCCAAAGCAAGGTAAAGTGAATGTGTTTTTAAGTGACAAAGTGAAAGTGTTAGATTGGTTAAAAGTTAGAAGTCTTTAGTGGAAGTGAGCTCTTGGTAAAGGAAAAGTGAATCAAGGATCTGTCTTTGAAAGCAAGAAACTTCCCAGAACTCATTCCATTATACCAAGCACAGTTCTGATTGTTTAGAATAACAGACAAATCTGCCAGGAAAAGAAAAGTAACTAAAATTTCAAGAGGATACAATTGTCTCAGTAATAATTCTTCCTCTTACATAATAAGTTACTGCAGCACTTAACTATAGATCCTTTACTATTGCTATGCAGTTACTTTCTGTACAGTTGATAGAATCTATAGCTAAAGGCGATATAAAAATTCCAGATCTTTTGCATTACAAACCAAAGCAGTTTTTATTAGGATAATAGTATCAAACCTCTGGGAAATCAAAATGTATACTCTAACAGTAATACATACAGTAGATAATTTCCATGTAAATATAATATCTTATCTAGCTATATATTGCTTTCTTATGGAGATATTCCCAGTGAAGAATCAATGAATGAGGAGGACCATCTGGGCATAGTTATGTTTCATAACAAATTAATAATGTAATCATTTCTAACAATTTTGCTGATTCTCATTTGAACTCCCCTCACTATACAAAGTACACAAACATTGGGGAATTAATATCCAGAATTATCTTTGGTGAGCCAGTGATTTGAAGGGGACCTGAGAAGGGATTTCGATATTTGGAAAATGTTCTGTCCTTAGTCAGTATTGTGATTATGTAAATACATTCACCTGGTAACATTCATGTATGGTTTTGTCCATTTTTCTTCTGTGTCTGCTACACATTATAAAAAGTATACAGTATCAGTCAAAACACACACTGAGTCTAGTTAGTATCACTTGAATAATACAGATCTTTAAGGAAGAGTATACAAACTATAAAATCAGAGGAAATAAATTATATATAAAAATTTATTATGCAAATTATAAAATAATAGAAAATATTTGGATTCGAAGTGTCCAATTACTTCTTTAGGCTTGAGTGTTTTGTTCTTCTGGAAGAAAGATCACACATTCATGTATTTATTATACAGGAAAGTTGTACGTTTAAGTTCTGAGCTTTCTAACAACCCCTTTGGTCATGTTCTGTAATATAACCTTGTTATTAAAAAAAATAAACTTTAGGGGGAGGTGGTATTTCTAGAGTTAGTTGTACTGGATCTACCCTTCACTTAAGTATGCTTCCTTGCTCTCAAATATTATAGGCAATAAAATTGTTAATATACTACCAGGGTATTTTACTAGTAATTATGCAGAATATATTAAAACATATGAGGAAGAAAAATAGTTAATATGCGGCCAGAACATTTTATTTTTAACTATACAGAATGTACTAAAAACATGGAATTTCCAGTTTTAATAATGTTTATATGGTTCTCTCTTAAGTAACTTATCCCTTTAATATATAGTATCATGCAACACTTCAGTATAATAGAGCACAGTGCTTCAGGGATGGATACATGTGCTGGCAGACCAAGATACTTTTGACTCCTTTTTTTTTGGTCCAGTCATGGGGCCTGAACTCTGGGCCTGGGCGCTGTCCCTCAGCTCTTCAGCTCAAAGCTAACATTCTACCACTTGAGCCACAGCGCCACTTCCGGCTTTTTTCTTTTTGCTTATGTGGTGCTGGAATCGAACCCAGGGCCTCATGCATGCAAGGCAAGCGCTCTACTACTGAGCCACCTTCCCAGCCCCCCAAGATACTTTTGAAAACTTGTTTTTGGTACATTTGAAGCTAATCCTCAAAAAGTTGTAGTTCAGTTTTAGGTCCCAGATGTTTTTATATAATAGAACTCTGCCTTTGAGCTTAGCATGCTTTTTTGTTTTTTCTTTCCTGAGGAGCAGTTTGGGTTCATTGAGGAATTTCATTTCCCCATTTCTAATTTTATCCAACTGTAAATAGTAAATATCTTCTCTGCACAGACGGTTGCATTGTACTAGGAACTACATCCATCTGCACTTGTTTGTGTCTTTCATGCTGAGAGCTGTAAGCATCTTTGTCAAGGACAGAGTGGCTCAGGCTCACTTGGGAGCGGAGGAGCTGCAGTCCTTGGTGATGCAGGGTGACCTACAGAATCCCATGGGAGCCCCTGCTGTGGACAAGTCACAGTATGTAAGTGTTCCCGCCTTTTCTCTCACTGCTGATTTGAGAGACATTACAAGTAAGCAAAACCTCACCGTTGGCAACATATTTGTTTACTTTTCGAGTTAGAGCTGACGGGACTGGATGTTTATTTCTGGGTTTCTGCTCTCTGATGTCTAACTATTCATTTTAGGTGCTAAAAATACTTGGGGGGGGGGTTTCCTCAAAAATATTCTGGATTGAAAACTACAAAAAACCCATATGATTGAGATGGTATTTGTAAACAGACCATAGCAACCCCCCATGTGATACTGTTTTCATCAGCAAACCCAAAAGCTTAGAAATGAAAAAAAACTACAATATTTAATTTCTCTGTAATGCTCTCAAAATTTTTGAATCTAAAGTTCTGTGACACTTCATTCTGTTCTTCAAAATGGATCAGTATTAGTTAAAATCAGTCAGTTAATCCGATCTTTGGAACAGTGTATCTGAAAATCAGTTACAGTGGACTGATAAAATGCCTAACCTCTTGTGTGTCCTTCTGCCTTTCCCTCTGACTTTGTAATCTCCGCTCTGCCTGTTTACAACCTGGCCTTGGGACTCATTTTACCCAGAAGCATAAAGTAGAAGAGGGAATATACCAGGCAAGGCAAACCTCTATGAATGAGCGCGAACTTAGCCCAGATCAGCAGAACTATCATCTGATGCATAGATCCATATATTAAATGTCTTATGTTTTACCTTTTTAACTTTTGAGGCAGTTTGATTTGTTACAATAATATCATGAAAAAGCCCAGAATGGAATAAATTTATAATAGAAATACGGTTTTTTTTCTTACATGTCCTATTCTTTTATTTAGTTTTATGATTATGTATATGTCTAGACATTAGCTTTTTAATATATATATATCTATGATCTAAATAGTTGTACAAATGAGCTGCCATTTAACATGGCAGTTTATGAGCACAATATATCTTGATCAATGTCACCACTCCCCTATCCCTTCTCTACCCACCTCTTCCCTCACTCTTCTTAATTGAATACAATATACATTGTATTCTTGATTGCCTTCTTCCCCTCTTCTCCTTTTTTCCCATCTCTTTTCCTTTGACCCCACCCCTACCTCTTTTGAGGACCCATTTGCTGGTGCTTTCTTATGCTGAACTTTGATTTTTGCTTTTCTAAGGAATTACACTGTTTGATAGCTCCTTTGAAGCTATCATATTTCAGTGAATATATTTATATACACTTGCATGCCACCCAGTGTATTTACTTATGAGTTACAAGGTAACTCCATCCTTTGTCTCTCTAGGCCTTTAATAGTTGTACGAAGTGGTTTCAATTCCATGTGTCAGATCATGAGTACGATAAGTCTTATTATCATATATACTTCGATAAACAATTATGAAGACAGTGGATTCTTGGGTAACTTCTATAAACTTTTTTTTAAAAAAATAGAATTAAAGCAATAGTCTTTAAGAATGTTGTGCTACCTTGGTTCTAGTGTATTCCAACTTTCTTGGCTTTCTTACATACAGGAGACATATAGACTACCAAAAAGAAGCCAAAGAACTGTTTTATAGTTGTCTTGGGTTGGTCTCCAGTCCAAGGGAAGACTTCTAATATGATGGCTTTCTGGTTTCTCTGTAACAGATTGGGTGCAAGATTGCTGTGGTGATGTTTATTTACTTCTTGGCTACGAACTATTATTGGATCCTGGTGGAAGGTCTCTACCTGCATAACTTAATCTTTGTATCTTTCTTTTCTGACACCAAATACTTGTGGGGCTTCATCCTGATCGGCTGGGGTAAGGCACTGTGTCTTCTTTGAAACTGCTTGTGGATTTGAAGACTTTCCCCTGTGTCCACTGATCATATTCCTGAAGATCCCATTTGTATCATGTCGTGTTTTTCATTGTTCTATTTTGAAATGAAAATCATTTCCTTTTCCTTTTGATGATACTGGAGATTGAACTCAGGGCCACATGGTCACTAGGCCGGCCTGTTATTCCTGCTGCCACACCTCCAGCCAAAAGATAGATTTTATTATCTTTCTAGCAACAAACATTTCAAGCTTAGTTTCTTATCATTGTTCTTAGGCTACATATGTATATATATATATATATATATATATATATATATATATATATAAACTTTTAGTAATTATTTTTTGAAATTTTTATTGTAAAGGTAATGTACAGAGGGGTTACTGTTACATAAGTCAGGTTTTGAGTACATTTGATTTTGAAGTGTTCCCTCGTTTTCTTCCAGTTTTTCCCCTCTCGAACCCTCTCTTCCAGAAGTTGCATAATTCATTTTCAACAGTGTCCAATGAGTATCACTGTTTACCCTTTGTCCTACCATTTCTGTGCTTCACCTTTCCCTCCCCAACTCAGATATAAGAGAAAAGTTACAGCATCAAAAACACCAACTAAATGGGAAAAAAAAGAAAAACAAAAACTACAAAAAGCAAAATAAAAAACCTCTTGTTTCCATTCTTGGATTTCATTTCGATAAGCATCATTTTATATGATCGTATGCCCATAGCTATTGAACCTTTCTGATTCTCTTCTTAGGCTAGATTATTGCAAGGATCCTGTGGGAGAAATTCAAGCAACTGCATCTAAGTCATCCACATTTGAACTGCTAAGTCAGTGTTCTGCTTCATCTACAGTTTCTTCCTTGAAATTTTGATTTTCGTGTTTCTAAGCTACAATGATACACCTTGGATTCATACTTCTAGATCATATGGCAAGAATGACAGAAAGAAATGTAGAGCACCATTAATGCCCAAAGAAATATAGGTCCCATAGTTTCCCTTATTTGCAATAACTAGTATATGTCTGGGACAAGCAGCAAAGGTCAGATAAGATGATGTTAAGTGAAATGAACCCCAAGAAAGGGACACAAGTGTTTTTTTCCCTTTCTTGTTATTGTTTCTAATGTATTTCTAAGATACCACGTGATTTTTTGTTGCTTTTTATATCCTTCCCCCACGGTATAACCCCTGTTTTCACTATATTTGATGCTGGTATAATTTGGGGAGGGAGAGGGGAAACAAATTGTTTAAATAGGGATACAGGTTGACCCGTTGCAACAATGAGATGTACAAGACGCTATGTCGAAAAATGGACTTTACAATTTAGGCCAGGGGTGGGATGGTGGGGGTAGGGGGAAGGGAGTGTAGTTGAGAAGGTGGGAAGGAAGGGATGGTAGGGGAAAAACAAAGGAGGAGCTAATAATGCTGAATAAAAAATGTACTCATTACCTTGCTCATGTAACTATAACCCCTCTGTACAGTATTTTCACAATAAAAAACTTATTTAAAAAATACAAAAAACAAAGGAAAAGGTGGCACTGTTCAAAAAGAAATGTACTCATTACCTGATTTACGCAACTATAAGCTTTCTTTACTTCACTTTTACAATTAAAAAAAAAACAATGACTACAAATTACCATGCTTTTTAGAAGGTGGTCATTCAAGTCACTTTTAGCAGGGTTATTTTTGAAAAAGAAGACAGTCAGTTCACATTTCAAAAATAACAAATCAGTACTGGGTTATTCTATTAGGCAAAACTCATGACAACAGAAAGGTGTTGTTTGCATAGCAACAAGTAAAGGGAACCAAGAATGTAGAGAAGACCAATTACAAATCCCAGTTAATTATTTTAATATTCAAGCTACAAGATGACCAATACAGAAAAGGAGCTATCAAAGTGGCTCAAGACTAAAGTTGAAATATTTTTTTCCTCTATTCTAATCAAAAGCTTTTCTGCCTGAATATTGTCTCAACACTTGAAAGCTTGAAATACCTTGCTAATTAATTAATAACCTTTAAGATGACAAGGGCTTCTTATACTGTAACACCTCATTTATTATGAAATAGTGGTTGTGAATCAAGTGTTATTTCTGAAGCCAGCTCTTCTGTTTACTTTGTGAATCTCTACATCATTGGCTATGCAAGCACTAAGTTATTTTTTTCTAACTGATGCAGACGTCCTCACCAACTCCTTATTTAGACTATGCAGGCCAATCCAGTCTGTCTTTCTACTCCTTCCTTTTATGGTGGTAATGGGGTTTAAACTCAGGGTCTTGAACTGGATAAGCAGGTGCTCTAACATTTGAGCCATGCCTACAACCTTATTTGCTCTGGTTATTTTTTCTCTGGAATAAGATCTCACAACCTTATTTGCTCTGTTTATCTTTTCTCTGGAATGAGATCTCACTTTGCCCAGGCTGGCCTGGACCCTAATCCTCTTATTTATGCTATCTATCAGAACTAAGATGACAAGCACACCAGTTGTCAACAGCTTTTTCTGTTGAAAAAATTTTTCTGTTAAAAAAATTGCTAAGACTGGCCAGAAACTTGATCCTCCTGATCTCAGCCTCCAAAGTAGCTAGAATTATAAGACATGAACCATATAGTTCCTAGCCTAGCCTGTCTTCTTAATTAAAGTTAGGACTCTGTCATATTAAAAGCTAGAAAAGTTATTTTCAACTCATATATATATATATTTATTGTAAAGATACTGTACAGAGGCGTTACAGTTACATGAGCAAGGTAATGAGTGCATTTCCTATCGAGCATTGTTACACCCTCCTTTAGTCAAGGTTCCCAGTAAGCGTTTCAAACCTCTCCTTACAACTTTTTTTAATTTGTAAATAAAAAGTTTGGCATAGCTTTTGTAACTGCAATAGGAAAGTATCATTATTAAAATATTCCCGAAGCCACAGCTATCATTTAATAAATCATATATCCAAATCTCTTTGCTCAATAGTTTGTTGATTTCTTAATTTGATACTGAAAGTTATTATTTTACTTCTCCAAATGTATTCTCCAACTCCTCATAAACATTTTGGTTGTTTTGTAGGGTCCTTTGCTAGCATATTTCATAGTGAATCTAATTTTGTGCTTTCTTTCAATGATATCATTTATTGACTTCATTAATGAAGAAAACTTGGTTGATTTCTTTATTGCTCATTTGGGCCTGAGTGTTAACAGCTGTAAACTTTTTTTTAGCTAGAAATATATTACATTACAGAGACATTGAATTATATTTCATTGATTTTGGTGATTCTTAACCACAAATTGGAAGGAAAATTATTTGAAGAGGAATGGATGCCATTTCTGATTTTCACTTAAATTGAAAGTGAATATTTATGGAACTCTTTTTTTTTTTCCTTTTTCGACTTTTTCTTTTTTGGTACTAGGGATCTAACCCAGGACGTTGCACTTGCTAGGTAAGCGCTTTGCCACTGAGCTACATCCCAGCCCATGGAAAGTAAATATTTAAAGTGGTATTTTTACCTTTTTTATCACAGAAGAATTTGTAGAGAAGTAAAGGCAAGAAATAGTGACTAGTTTTTCCCTGTCAACCAAATACATATTCTTTCTCTATCCTAGCATAGGGAACTTTGCTCTTGGTTCTATTTTATCCCTTCATGCTCCTAACTTTTTCTGTATTTCACAAGTCTCAGTATTGTTATTTATCCTTATTGAATGGGTGTTTAACCTGGAATCTGCATGGAGAAAGGGATTTTATTAAGTGACAGTGCCTGATATAATTATCATTTAAATAATAATGTCAACTCAAACATGATTAATTGATGTTATTTAGCACATTGTTCAGGAAGTTGCCTGATAAGAAGATTGTTCAGGCATCAGATGATAAGGATCAGAAAATAACAAACTATAAGCATTGATCAAAAAGTCAAGCACTTAAACGAAGCCAGGACAACAAAGCAGCAAACAGAACCATGTCAAGCCTTTGCTAACCACACCATGAGAAATAGCGATGCCCATTATCACCATTAGACAGTAGCATTTGCATCACTTGCTTTTTTCTAAGACAAGCATTAATTACAAGTGAAATTCTTTTATTTTTTAATTTTGTCTTTCTTATCACAGTATACATTTTAAGAAATCAAGAACATGGTCAGTTTGCTTATTGTGGCTTTGGAGATTAGAATAACCCTTGACATATAAATGAATATTTAGTAAGACCTTGATGAAAGAACGAATGGTTGGATGGATGGATGAAAGGACCAGTTGACAACAAGATAGGTAGAAAAGTTATGCAAACTGGACCTCAAAAAAATCACTTGAAGCTGGGTTCCAGTGGCTCACACCTGTAATCCTAGTCACTCAGAGGCTGAGATCTGAGGATTGTAGTTCAAAGTAGCCTGGGCAGGAAAGTCTGTGAGACTCGCATCTCCAATTAACCACCAGAAAACTAAAAGTGGTGCTGTGGCTCAAGAAGTAGAGAGTGTGCCTTGAGCTGAAGAACTCAAGGACAGCACAAAGGCCCAGAGTTCAAACCCTATGACTGAAAAAAGAAATCTCTGGAATTACACAGGCCTATTTCAACAAAAAATTTATAAAAAGTAGAATTCAATCCGTCTTTTTTTTTTTAAAGAAAAAAACTACATACAAATAATAAATTAAATTGAAATATAACATCCTAACATTAGTCAAATAGAGTAGCGTAGTGACCAAAGAGACCAAAGAGGCCACAGCTCAACTTATTTTCAACTTTTCCTAAAATCTTCGTTCATCTGAGTACATTCATATGTATGAGCATGGGGGAAAATACTTCATCTTAAATGAAATATTTATGTCTGAGAACTTTTCTGGTTACAGGGTTTCCAGCAGCATTTGTGGTGGCCTGGGCTGTGGCACGAGCAACTCTGGCTGATGCGAGGTGAGTAGAAAATCAAAGAAGACAATAGGCAGCCTCAGGTTTTCTGCAGAGTCAAGAGTCCACATTGGCTATTCTTCTTGGTGCCATTGTTTTCTAAGGATATCATATGGAAAGTAACCTGGATGCAGTAATGGCCTCCAGTCCATCCCACAGGCCATAGAACAGATAAGTCCATGGTTTATGAAGTCAATTGAAAACATAATATGAGAAGAAAAGGGAGAGATGGGCTAGGGGTATACTCAGAATATAGTGTGCACAGGTGGAAGGACCACACTGTTTCCTCTCCCTCAGTAACACTGACCATCCCTCTGATGGTGTAGCTATGAAGACCAGAGATAAAAAGATGAGGTTGCAGCAAGGTGCTCCATGGGCAGAAGGCACCCTGGGCCCATGACGCACACCTGCTGTTTCAGAGGGACAGAGGGACAAGGAAACTGGCCAGAGCTGTACCTTCCCAGCTTGCCTGGTGAGTAGCTCTGATTTATTTTCAATTCTTGGGCAGAGGACAAATGAGGGTAAGTTTGACCACTTAGCTGAATTAATACTTCAACTCTATTGACTACTCTTTGTCTGTCAGGGGTATTTTGTGTCTCTTGTCTGTTTAGAATATCATGAATGTTTCATGCCCACACATCTCATTGTGTGTGCGCTACCAATAATCACTTAACTATATTTGATAACCTGTAGGTTTTACTCATCCTATTTGTTTTCTTTGAACATTAAAAAACACACCCTAACCTCTGCATTAAATGTGAAAGCTTTATGTGCTTCATGATAGCAGTTCCCTTTTTGCTCATTCCTTGGGAGCCTCTTTAAGTTTTGAGCCAATGCTTCTCTGGAATTTGCCTTAGAAATTTGGGCTAGACACTTTGGAAAGTAGTGTGGAGGTTCCTCAAAAGACTCCATATAGAGCTCCCTTATGACCCAGCAATCCCACTTTTGGGCATTTACCCAAATGTTTACAAACAAGACCACACTAAAGCTACCAGCATGACTATGTTTATTGCAGCATTATTTACCATAGCTAAGATATGGAACCAACCCAGATGCCCCTCAGTAGATGAATGGATCAAGAAAATGTGGTATATATACACAATGGAATTCTATGCCTCCATCAGAAAGAATGACATTGCCCCATTTGTTAGGAAATGGAAAGACTTGGAAAAAAATTATATTAAGTGAAGAAAGCCAGGCCCAAAGAAACATAGGTCCCATGGTTTCCCTTATTTGCAATATCTAGTATATGTCTGAATCAAGCAGAAAAGGGTCAGATAAGATGATGTTAGGGAAATGAACCCTAAGATATGTATTTTAATGTTTTTTTTTCTTTCATGTGATTGTTTCTAACACATTTATAAGATTATTTCTTTGTTGCTTTTTATGTTCCTCCCCAACAGTATAACCCCTGCTTTCACTGTATTTGATGTCGATATAATTTGTGGAGGGGAAGGGGAAAAACAAATCTTTTAAATAGGGATACAGGTGGACCCATTGCAACAATGAGATGTACAAGTCGTTATGTCGAAAACGAACTTTACAACTTTGGTGCAGGGAGGCGGGGGAGCGGGGAGGATTGGGTGGAGGAGTGGGGGAGGGTGGGAAGGGATGGGAAGGGGAAACAAAGGAGGAGGCTACAATGCTTGATAATATCTTGCCCATGTAATTGTAACCCCTCTGTACAGTATTTTCACAATTAAAAAAAGCAGAAATTATGCTATTCTTCAAAAATAAAAAAAAAGAAATTTGGGCTAGAGGGGCTGGGACGGTGGCTCAGTGGTAGAGTGCTTGCCTTGCATCCATGAGGCCCTGGGTTCTTTTCCTCAACACCACACAAGCAGAAAAAGCTGGAAGTGGCGCTGTGGCTCAATTGGTAGAGTGCTAGAAGAGCTCAGGGACAGTTCTCAGGCCCAGAGTTCAGGCCCCACAAGCGACAGAAAAAAAAAAAGAAAAGAAAGATATCTGGGCTGGAGTTGTGGCCAGCCTAGCAAGTGTGAGTCCCAGAGTTGAACTAACTAGAAAAGAAAGTAAAGAGAAGAGAATTACTCTATGAACCAAAAAAGGAACATCACACAAACCAAGCACTCATCTTTGTGGAGAACCTGCGCCTCTCCTTGCAACGCTTCCTTGTCTTTACGTGCAACCTTCCATGCGTTGCCTCAGAACGTCTCATTCACCAGCTCCTCTCAGTTTTCAATCTTACTTTGCTTGGCAGTTTTATTTGGTGTTACCCTTGTATGCTATTTGGATTTGTTAACAATTCCATTGGGTTAATGTCTGTACTTTTGTCATTACTTCTGTGTTTGTAATGATGTTGGAAATCTCAAAGAAAACTTGTAAGATTTATTGGATTTCTACTGGAAAGGGGCTGAGTCAGTAAACCATCATTACTAATTAATGACACAACAATGATCTTCTGAGATGTATAACCATGTGTCCTAGATTCAGAGTTTGAGAAGACATAACACCTAAGGCATTTTCTGATTCAATCTCCTATTTTAGAGATAAATAAAATGGGACCCAAGGACATTAGGACATATTCTCAAAGCTTATTTGGAGCCTAACTTTGACTCACTTATGAATTTAATTCAACATATTCTAGGCTCTTAGCATAGGAAAGAAAACAAGTATAGACGTAATGCATTTTGTATTAAATTCATTTTCTGAATTATGAAATTTTCTTTAAAAAATATAAACTCAATTATTATTAACAATCACAAGTATTTTATTGCAAACAAAATCTAAGAAATATATCATTTTTGAGGAAAAGAATCCATGGAACACAAAACATGTTGAAAAATATAACTGTTAGTAAATAATGCGCTAACACAGTTTCACTAATGCAAAAAGAAGTTAGATATAAGTTAGAATATATGCTTCCTCTGTGCAACAAATTTTACTCTTACTTTGCTCAGATAAAATTTAGACCTTTAGAGTTCTCTACAGTGGAACGAAGGGCTAAGTTTATATTTGATTGTGCAACTAAGATCGAATTGCATTACTGATTATGTGGCATGATTTCAAAATTCCCTAGTTCAATTTCTCATGAAGTTCAGTGCTTTATGTTTCTTGGATAGAATATGATCTACATACTGTGCCATATCACAAGGTAGAGGTGAAGAGAGCTATGTTCATGCATGTCCACGGAGTGGGTGGGATTTATATCAACGACTTGTATTTGAGACTCAGCTTCTGACATGCCTTACGTTTTCTCCACATCTTTGGCAGAGATAAGCAGATTAGAGTCAGTTTCAATGATATCTGAATTCTACTAGAATATAAAAGAAGTCACTTCTAGTTCTAAAATCTATGAAAAGTGTTATTTGTGTACCAGAGGGTAAGATAACTTGAGTAATGGAAGTTGGATAAATAAAATTATGAGTGATTTTACACACTTTTTATTTACAAAAGCAACATTTTTCAAAACCCTTGTTACTTCTTGCTTGTGTCTTGCAAAGGAGACAGTGGATGGCAGTGAATGGTGAAAACACACAACTTCCTTCCTATATCTTTGTATTAACATGCGAAAAGGAAGATAGGATATGAAATGGGAAGGACCTGCAAAGATGGTCTCTAACATTCCTAGGACTCATATAGGTTCCCAGGGCTATGCCCTTCTTGCCTTGTATACTTTTACTAAGTGTGAATTGTAGAGAGATTGCAATGCTGCGTCAGTAGTAAGCACTGGATCTCTCTGGCAGGACTGTACATGTGTCTAAGCTCAATGTGGGAAGTTCTGTTTCTAGTAAGACCACTGTGCTGGGTCTCATTTAGAACTGTATCCCTCTATTGTTCAAATCAACTTAAAAATTTGAACAGAGGATGCTTTCTGGGTCATGTGTGATCTGAAGTAGAGACACTGAAATAGGATTTCTGGCATTTTCTTTAAAGTGGCTGGTTGCCTCACTTGTGAAAGAGCAGATTTGAAACTTTGACACCAGAAACCATTGAAGGCAAGTTTTTCATGCTTTTGGAGGTAGCTGATTTTGACCTACTTCCAAATAAAAGTATTTTGTAGAGTTAGAACTGTATAATTGAATCACCACTGTGAGGAAACACCATGGGGAAATGTCACCAAGGTAAAGAAAGAAGACTGCGGAGATATTATCAAATGTCAAAAATGAGAATGAAAATTTATGGAATCTAAACCCTGGTAGCTAGCAAATGAATGTTCATTTTATATTCACATGATAAATCTACCACTTTCCTTATGGAAGAAAACCTTTTAGGGTAATATGATATATGTTCTGCATAGCTCAGTAATGATGTCATTTATCTTTCTTGTCTAGTTGAATCATGTGAAAAATAGATGCTCGCACACAATGCTAAGAAATGTTCAGTTATGTTCAAGTATGAAGACATGATGTTCATTGGCTATGAGGGAACATGTGGTCAGTTGGGCAGGAGCACAATTATACTTTGGCCCAGGGGCTGGTTAATTTCCATGGTGCACCCTCACAATACAAAGTGAGTGACTGACCACTCTTGGTACCGATATGGAAAAAAGTAAATATAGTATACCTTTAAAAGGAAAAAGAAAGCTTCATTAAGAGAATATACATTATTTTTTCTATGAAACTTACTTTACATTCAATTTATTTCCATTTAATCCAGCAAGTATTTATTGACTTCCCAAGTGTTATATACCACGCTGGGCACTTGTAGGACCTTATAACCCAAGGTCAGTAATGATCTTCACATCCTAAGTGGAATCAGAAAATAAATATAACAAGTAGGTGAATTAGGGTTGGAGGTCTAGCTTGAGTGGTAGAGTGCTAGCTTAACAAATGGGTAAAATATGTGCAAATTTGATTAATTAATTTAAAATAATCTTTTTAAAATTACAAACAAAATCATGGGTCCTGAGAAATATAAAGAACGCTTGTGATTTTTTATTTTAATTAATTAATTAGTTAATTAATTATTTTGTGTCAGTTGTGGGGCTTGAACTCTGGGCCTGGGCCCTGTCCCTCAGCTCTTCAGCACAAGGCAAGTGCTCTACCACTTGAGCCACAGCTCCACTTCCTTGTGAAGGCCTTTTAAAGTCCCTTATTTAATGAGGGAAACTAGTAAGATATTATGGTTTGTTCAAAGGATAAATGGAAGAAGAACCATATCGTTTTATTCAGGAAAGTTAATACTGAAAAGTTACAAGTGAAACTAACTGTTAATATTCATAGAACACAAACCAATTACATCCTAGTGAAGAGGGTTCATTTTTAGGACTATATCAAACACGTTTGTTCAGTTTTCTGTTGTGTTAATATAGATAAGAATAAGTGTAAAGTTACACTTGAACTTAATAGTAATATTGTTGTAACCACTGAAAGAACTTTATGAAGGAATTTTTGATGATTATATCTTATTTCAATGCTAATAAAAGCAAACTAACAATGTTACCACTTTTAGAAGACTGTGTGTGTGTGTGTGTGTGTGTGTGTGAGAGAGAGAGAGAGAGAGAGAGGGAGAGAGAGAGAGAGTGAGAGAGGATTTCACCTTTGGTCACTATAAAAGTAATTACTCAATATTTGTAACAATTTACTTACCTGAAGGTTGTATTATAGTTTGGAAATAGGACCCATTATGCGTGTTTTCACTAGTTTGGATGTTTAAAGTTAAGATATTTGTACCTGTTTGTTTCTTTTTCCCTTTAAAAATAGTTTTATTATCTTTAAGTAGTTGCACAAAGGAATCACTATTCAACAAATCAATTTATGAATGCCATGCATCTAGGTCAATGTTACCTCTTTCATCATTCTATTTATTTCTTATTGAGAAGTTGGCTAGGGTTTCCAGTAAAAGTTAAAAATTCTGCTTAATTTCCATTATCTTTTTGTTTTATATCTTTTAGCCAAATCTATTCATGAAAGTTTTTTTTTATGTATATGTATCTTAGGTGCTGGGAACTTAGCGCTGGAGACAGGTGGATTTATCAAGCCCCAATCTTAGCAGCTATTGGGGTAAGTTTGAGAGTCCATATGGTTGAAAGGATGAATAATTAAATGTCTATTAAAACTCTAAGGAAAATTGTCTGTCTCTTTACTGTATAATAAATTTAAGACTCCCTCATGTATACTTTAGCTGTTGGAAGAATTGAGATTGAGGTCTAGATCTTTGAGGCTTACACTGAGACACATGTAGACATCACAGGTGCCCTCTTAGTCATGTAGCATTTGAGGACATCTCTGAGACTTCAAAATATGTCATTTGCATATGTAGGGAATTAGATAGCCCTAAATCACTACCTCCTCCTTTACCCATTACATTTCCACTTTAAGGTGCTAACTAACTAGTCATAAGTTGGGGGTAATGTGATGGGTAATGTGATGGGTAATGTGAATTGCAGGATGGACAAATTGCTGAGGAGGAAGTATGAATTGCCTGAAGGTTTCATTTGGTGTATTTTCCCCCATGGAGTTAAGTATATTCCATATGGAGAGATACCTTGAAAAATTTCATCTAATGGATAATAGTAATGTCACAGAACCTTATGTGTCTGTAATCTGACCGTTGAATACTGCATCTGTGCTGCAGAGGAAAGCAAAGCTGTACTATCAGGTCTAACAGAATTCACAAATATTAAGGCTTTATAGCATCAGTTTTTCTGTAGAAATTATTTTGAAAGAGCAATGAATAATTACTTGTTAATTTAGCTGAAGAACTTATACCAGTTGGTGTTTTCCTGGTGCTCACATAGGTAATACTTAATTATATGTATCTTAAAAATAGGACTATTCTCCCAATACTAAATGTTAAGCCATGAGGAAGCAATTTCACAGCCTGATCATTAATTGGTTTGTTGATTTTCTTTGTTCTCCACTCTCATGTCTTCCTTGTTTTTTGGACAATAAATCACTTATTCTGCCAGCCTCTTGACATACTGGACCCACATGAGCTACTGATAATAGGACAGAGATTTTCTAGGATCTTCCAGAGAATCCGATAAAAGTTTTCTATACCTCATAAGAAAGTTGTCCAGTGAACAATAGAAGAGAGCAAAAGTAATCTTATAGGTCCATTGGTGTCAAAGTTTAGAGGGGAAAATAAAACAAAGTAACACAGAGGTCAGTTTATATCCTTACTAAATCATACTGTTATCAAATTGTACCCATTTCCCTATGTCTGAGGAGAAGGTAAAAATGGGTTGAGGATAAAGGAAGGAATGACTAAAATCCAGAAACATACTATTGTGATTTTTAAAGTAAATGCAATGCTGCTATAACTTAGTAGTAAGTAATCTCAGAGCTGCAACTATGTTGCTGAGAATACATCAGCGAGTTTAAAGGTAAGAATTCACTTCATAAAGTAGGGGTTCGGGTCTAAAATTCTAACTTTATTTTTATTCAATGGAACCCTGTTTTTATCTATCCTGGTTAGGCTCTAAGTTTCTTTCTATGTTCTCCTCTAGACATTCCTTCTTCTCTATCTTACTATTGATATTTTAGGGGGACACCCTGTGTTTTACTACTTTTTGAGTCTGTAGTGCCCTGAATTGATGAGTAATGGGATAAACAGTGCTTCTAAATTTAACTACATTTTAATACAGTGGTAAAGTTTGGGTTTTCACTTGATGAAAAGGTAGGACCTATTAAAAGCTAAGAGAACCTTACAATTTATTAGATATTAAAGCCGGTCACTGGTGGCTCATACTCCTAACCATTCAAGAGGCTAAGATCTGAGAATCACAGTTCAAGGCCAGCTTGAACAGAAAAGTATATGAGAATTATATAACCACATTAACCAGAAAAGGCCAAAAGTAGAAGTGTGACTTAAGTGGTAGAGCAGCAGTTATTTTGGGGAGGGAGAATTGGGGGAATGTTTTCGTTATCTCTAAGTAGTTGTACAATGGAGTTACCATTCAAGAAAGCAGTGTGTCTTGATCAATGTCACCTTTTTTTTTAACATTCTGACCCACCTCTCCCAACACACTTCTACCTTCACTTTTATTAATTCTTAGGTTCTGTATCTTTTGCCATTTAACAAAGCAGCTTATACGTACAATGCATCTTATTTGTGTCATCACTTCAACATTTTCATCCCCTTTTGACCCAACCCTTACCTTATATTTCTCAATTCTGTAATTTATACAATGAATTCTTGCCTGCGTTCTCCTCTTTCCCCCCTTCATTCTTCTTCCCCTTTCCCCTTCTCTTGCAAGCACCCATTTCCTGATACTTACTTTGTTGGGTTTTGACTTAGTCTTTCTAAATAATTATACTATTTTTTTGGGGGGGTCCGGTCGTGGGGCCTGAACTCTGGGCCTGGGTGCTGTCCCTCAGCTCTTCAGCTCAAGGCTAGCGCTCTACCACTTGAGCCACAGTGCCACTTCTGGCTTTTTTCTTTTTGCTTATGTGATGCTGAGGAATTGAACCCAGGGCCTCATGCATGCAAGGCAAGTGCTCTACCACTGAGCCATCCTCCCAGCCCCAGAGTTATACTATTTGAGCTCTCTGTCGAGTCTGTTGCACATTAGTTAATTTATTTGCAACTCCTGACTTACCACCCAGTGTGTCTACTTGTAGATTTATAAGAACATTCTATCTACCACAAAAGAGGGAAGCCCCACATCCTGTTTTCCTGGATCTGGCTTATTTCACTTAATACAATTTTTTTCCACGTCTTTCCATTTCCTTATGAATGGTACAATGTCATTCTTTCTGATGGGTGAGTACAATTCCATTGTGTGTGTGTGTGTGTGTACCACATTTCTTGGTCTATTCATCTATTAAGGGATATCTGAGTTGATTTCATATCTTGGCTATGGTAAGCAATCCTGTAATGAACATGGTTGTCCTGGTGGCTTTAGTGTAGCCTTGTTTGTATAGAGTGGCAGTTTTGAGTAACAAAAAACTAAGGGAGAGGGACCTAGCCCTGTATTTAAGCTCTTACCAGCACAAATTAAAACAAAGGTCAGTGAAAGCTTTGTTGTTTGTTGACAGATCTAAGTCACTTATATCACCAACATGAATGGAAGTTTATTTGCAGAGGTTTCTGAATTGTAATGGGAAACAGTAGTGAGATGATGAAGGACTAGCTACACAGTCTGCCGTTGGAGCACCACTAATTATGGTTTACTCATTTTATTTAGGTTTGATTAAAACCTGGGTTAGGTTTGATTAAAAAACCTGAGTGGAATGACAGTTTTCTTCTTCTTGAACTAAAATTATGAGATCTTCACAGCAGGAATTCTTAGATGCATGTCCAATATGATATAGTCCATTTGATTTCACAAATGGACAAAGAGATTCATGAACACAATTCTGTTTCAGTATTAGAATTTTGGGGTTATCACCATTCCCTGGTGTCAGGCACTCATAGAATGTCAGAACTTGACTTGAAATTAATATCCCACTCATTTTTATTGATAACTGAGAGAAGGCTGAGGTGTGAAAGAGAAACTGAACAATGTAAGTGGAAGCCTAAGGGCGAAAAAATAGAATTGTAAAGAAAAGCTGTTTGTAATAAAATGAGGAAAATAGCTTGAGAGACAAGAAGCTAAAGCTCAAGCAAAGATAGTTCCCAGGAGAGAAATTGGGCCATGGAAGTAGAAAGTGGAAAAGTCTTTGTGGATAATAGCACTGCTATTTCCTGTCCAGTCATTAAGATTGTCCCCAGTGGGTAGTGGCTCAGAGGCTCACCTAGCAGCACATACAGAATTCCTGGGGATCCCAGAGTCAGAAGAAATGGTGAGCCCAAGTCAATGTGTTTTAAAATCTGGATTCCAAGAACAGTAATTATTTTACTTAGAATTAGAAAGACCTTTGTTTTATAAGCTAACTTGGCATTTAGAAAATGAAAAGTGTTTTGAAGTGTATTTGGCAGAAGCTTGGGGCTCACAATAAATAGAAAATCATGAGCAAAGACAATAGTGATTAGTGAGACAGATTCATTCATTCATCCATTCATTCTAGAGGATTGACACGAGTCTAACCTGAGACTTTGGACAATTTTATCAGGATGGAAGCAGCAGGCAGGCCATGGGTGGCACTCATATGCTGCCCTCAAGATCTGAGACTTAATCATGCAGGAGGTGGCAGCCACGGATTTCCACAGTGGTGAGTGATGGAATCAGATTTCTCCCTCAAAGAGTCCCAAGGCCTGGTTGAAGTTGGGCAGTGGTGCATTTAGGTAGCAGTGGTGTCTGCTGGGTGAAATCACTGTGACTCTGAGGACATGACTGAATTAGAAGGCAAAAGAAGAATGTGAACTGGGGTTTGGTATCTTGTGCACTTGTGATTCATCTTCCTCATTTGCACAACTGGCTCCTGTGCCTCCTTAGCCGTCAGCTTTGTGCAGTTGACTTCTTTTAGTTCTGTGAGCATGCTCAGTTCTTTCCCATCTCAAGCCTTTTGTCTCTACTGGTTTATCTGCCTGACCTCCTGCTTGTCATCTAAGGTCCACTCTCCCTGCAGTCCCCAGCTTGAAGCTGATATTCTCCAGTGGGTCTTCTCTTCACCTTACAGACTTGAGTGTTAGTAGTTTTATGACAGTCCTAGGTCTGCCCTTCTGTCGAAGCAGATAGCTGGAATTTTATATGTAGGCTGGTTTTGGCCATGTGTTTAAACTTAAGGTTCACTTTTGTCATCTGAGCAATGGAGATAATAGTATAGGTCACATGAGTTAATTATTGGACTGCATTAGAAATAGTGGCTGACATATAGTACAATGAGAGATTTTAATGATACTGGTTGACATCTTTAATTCTCTAGTGGCTTCACATTATAATCAAATTCAACTTGCTTATGTAGATGAATAGCCTGCCTCTCCAGCTTTACTGTCTTCTTTTTATTGTCAAGGTGATGTACAGAGGGGTTAGCGTTACATAAGTAAAGAGTACATTTCTTGTTAAGCTGTTACACCTTCCTTCAATTTTCTCCTACTTTCCCTCCCCTTAAGCCCTCCAAGTTGTACAGTTCATTTCCAACATATTGTCTTGTGTATATCACTGTTGCATTGGTTT